TCGGAAACCCTGTACAGGGTCGCTATGGGTCGGAACCGGCTCGACGGCACTTAACAACAACAACAACCAGTCTCTATTAGGTCAGAAAGTCTGTCTTTATGATTTTTGAGTTTTGTTCCACATTTTTTCTCCTACTCATTCTACGACCTCCTATTGGTACTGACCACGTTTCAGATATAGTCAGTAATAGTAGCTGGGGGTTCAGGGTCTTCTGATCTCAGGGTCATGGAGGCTAGGGTTAACTTGGTCCATTAGTCTTTGGAATAATTGTTTCTCTAAGTATCTTTGATTTTCTTTACTCTTCTTTGCTCCAGAAAGGGAGATACCAATAGTTACACCTTAGATGGCTGCTCACAAGCTTTTAAAGACCCCAGGCGCTAATCAATAAAGTAGGATGTTGAACATGGTCTTTGTGGACTATGTTATGCCAAATAACCATAGTGTCCCCCAAGGCTATGGTCTTGAGCTCCCAAACAAACATACCAACTCATTCCTTCATCAAGGTATTTGATTATGGCTAAGAAGTTTTCCTAAATTTGCCCCCCTATTGTTGTTAACTGCTGTTGAGTCAGCTCCAACCCATAGTGACCCTGTATAGGATTTTCAAGAAGCAGCTGGTGAACTTGAACTGCCAACCTTGCAGATCAAACTGACCTTGTAGTGCAGTGCATTAACCTGCAGTGCCACACGAGGACTCTTATGCTCTACTAAATTCAATGAACCATAACCAGGTCAGTGTAATCCTCTTCACATTGCAAATAGAAGGAAAATGGATGTCCTTTTAACAGTATGATGAGACTGCTGTTATTATTAAGTGCTGTATAGCCCATTCTGATGCATTGTGACCTTGTATAGTGTTTCCAAAAGGTTGCTGGTAAGCTTGAACGGCCAACCTTGTAGTTCAAATCAACTTTGCAGTCCAGCGCATTACGCACAGAGCCACACCAGGACTCCTTGTTAAGATTAGGAAATAAAAAAGTAGATGTCTAATACTTCCCATAAAGACTCTAATAAAATTGCTCTTGTTTGATGAGAGGAATGAGAAAGCAGCATTGTCCTAATGGTGAAGGACTCACTGGTGAAGTTTTTCCGGGTGATTTTCTGCTAGAGCTTTGACTAATTTTCTCGAGTCACTCTTATAAGCAGATTTTATTGTTCTCAGACCTTCCAGAAGGTCAACAAGCAAAATGCCTCTAGCATCCCCCAAAATTGTTACCATGACCTCTGTTCTTGTCCAGTCCACTTTTGCTTTGACTGAAACACTTCCACTCTTGGTAGCCATTAAGTTTAGATTCAGTGTCTATTTATGAATCCACTCATAGATTATTATTATTACTGCTATTATAGAATTATGTAGGTTATAGTCCTGGTGTGGTGCTCTAGGATAAGCACTCAACCACAAGGTAGGTTTGAACTTCATTGTTGTTGGTTCAAATCCATCAGCTGCTCCTTGGAATCCCTATACAGAGTCACTATGAATCGGAACTGATTCGACATCATGTAGCAACAACAATGATGTAAGTATTTTCTGTTTCAATAATGCTAATTTTTAATGGCTAAGTGAATTCATATTAGGTGCCATGGAGCTGGTACTGACTCATAACAACCCTATGAACAACAGAACAAAGCACAGCCTGGTCCCGGGCCAACTCACATCATTGCTACACCTGAGCCCACTGCTGCTGCCACTGTGCCAATCCTTATGGGTATCTCTAAATAAAAATATACATTACAGTCATTGAAATTCCTTCCTGAATGACTAAACACATCTATACTTATACACACTAATACATATTTTCTAGAAGTAAAATTATTGTCAAAGACAATGGAAAAAAATTAAGGATCTATGCTTGTATTGTCAAATTTTTCTGAGGGAAAATTAGCCAATATAAACCCATTAGGTATACAGCTACTTATTTTTTCTTGACTTTCTTAACACTATGTTTACATCGATATCTATTATCTATATATGCATCTATATCTATATGTCTTTGCTAGATTAAAAATACACGGGCTTCAGAGACGGGTAAGGATCACGTGGAACCTCGGCAATCTAAGACAGAGCCATTGCCATGCTGCAATGAGTTTCGATGACAGGTAAGACGGAGGAATT